GGGGGGGGAAAAGTGGGCGGTGGGGAGGGGGTAGGAATCCCTGGAGAAGGTGAGTGCCAGGACAAGCTGCCTCTGTGGGGGAGAGGGAGTATCATTCCTCAAAGGAAGCGAGTGCCGCGGACTCCCTGTCCCCTGATGCAGCACCCACTGGCAGCCTGCTATCTGCCCCATCATGCCCCATCAGCCTGTCCCGTACCCCCCACCAACACCCTGTCCCCTGTTTCAGCATCCACTGGCACCCCGTCCTAAGCACCCTTCCCCAGTACCATGTCCTCTGCTCCCACCAGTACAGTTGGGGCCACATTAGTGAGGCTTGAGGGGGGTTTGGGAGGAGGGATGGGATGGTATGGTGTGGGGTGTGTGTGTGGGGCGGAGGGGGGGAATGTCTCACTTGTGTGGCCCCAACTGACTTTTTTCTGTTGGTCAGTAACCCCCGACTCAAAACAGGTTCCCTGCCCCTTTCATAAATAAAGATAATGTTGAAACTTTGTGTTTGACATAATATTTTATTAAAAAATGAAGCCTGGCCAACAAACCCCCAATTGGGGCCAAGCCCCCATCTGGCCGCAGAATAATAACACTCCTGTACCACTGCCAGCCTCAAATCTGAGCTTATCATGCACTGGAACCACCTGTCCTGAGCCTCTCATATCCCCAAACTCCTGCACCCTCACATCCTCAGTCTTCTGCCACAACACTTCTGCACCATCCACACATCACAAATCTGTGTCCTGAGCCCATCTTACTCCCTACCTTCCCTGCCCTGAGCCCCTCACATACCCCCAACCCAAAATCCTGCACCCTCCCATCCACAAGCCTGTGGCTTGTTCAGTACCCCAACCCTCCACCTGACCCCCAACATTCCTCAGCCTGTAGCCTCCTCCCCAAGCCATCATCCCTTTCTCCACCTCCTCCTACATCCAAATTCCCTCCCAGGTTTGCACCTCTCACCCCTTCCCCCACACATCCCTTATTCCCACCCCAGAGCCTGTACCTCCTGTCACAACCCAGTGAGAGTACGGCTAGACTGTAGGAGTTTTTTCTGGGATACCCAGGATATCCCAGAAAAACTCCTCTGCATCGGGTACGGCTAGACTGCAGGAGTTTTTATGGAAACACGTTCTTTTGGCAGCCCCTGTATTCCTCATTCCATGAGGAATGAGGGGACTTCCAAAAGAAGGGGGGTTTCCAACATTTGGCCCAGTCTAGTTGGGTCAAATGTTGGAAAAATTCTTCCTGCAGAACAAAAAAAAAAAAAGTGGCAGTGTAGCCATACCCTGAGAGTGTATAAGGGCCAGGGATAGCAAGTGATGGAGAGGAGGAGAACAGAGAGGGCAGGGCTTCAAGAAAGGGGTGGAGTCTTGGGGGAAGGATGGGGTAGATCTTGGCTTGTTCTGACATTTAAAAAGTGATCTTGGGCATAAAAGGGTTGGAGACCACTGTCTTAGACTATCTAGGTAACACATTTAAAAATATGTTTTAAACCTAGTTTAACAAAAGCGGTATAAACTGTGTAGCACGAGCACCCAGTCAGGAATTCACACATTCTGTCAATTGGTAATTTTAGAATCTTTTCAGTGTTGTATTTGTGACACACACTATGCAAGTGATAAGAGAACTGAAAGTACTTTGACATGCTCACTTGAATTCCATTCCTGAGATATGAAACTTTAACCTAGAATCTGATACTCTTAAGAACCACTATTAAAAATTCCATGTTAAATTACTTAAGCAGAAAAGCCTTCATGTTCCTCTGGTGTAAAATGCAGCGATTTTCTCCTTTTTAGATAAACCAAGCTAAGCCAGAGTGTGGCCGTCAAAGTTTAGCTGAACTACTCATTCGACCAGTTCAGCGGTTACCCAGTGTTGCTTTACTTCTGAATGGTAACTTTTTTTGACACTTTGTTTTGGGTTAGCCACCTTGCCTGTTGTGGGGGAGATGGTGGGTGGGTGTGTGTGTGTGTGTGTGTGTGTGTGTGTGTGTGTGGCCTAAATTAATTAGGATCTTCTTTCATTGTTCCAATCATAGTTTGTAAAGCCTAAAGCCAAATTGTGTGGTATTGAATTTCAGTAAATTCAGTTGCTCATGTGCTTGATGTCAGCATACAGATATAGGTAAGCCTCTACACTGCGGAAATGGGGCATATGTTTCAAATCTGAATATATTTCAGTTTTAAAGCCACTGCCTTGAGCTAAAATTATTGGAAACACTTCAGTGTTACAGCACAAACTACTTTCTGTAGTTATTTTGAGTTCTAATAACACACTTAATATGTGAACTACCTGTTGTAAGTCCTTATGTATTCTTGAGTGATGGGCTTGGGATGCCCTTATATAGGCAGTCTAGTTTAAACATCCCTCTTGTCTTAAAACTTCTAGCTAGTAGTGTTACAAGTAGAACCTAAGACCTCTCTAAGAGACCTTATTTTATTTTACTTTGTCTCTGTGACAGCCTTATTTGTAGCAAGTTTTGTAACTACTTCTGTATATGAGTATCCTGCAATGTTTGCCCTGTTTTTGTGGGTGGATGTGGGTTTTTTCCCCCAAATCAATATTCCCTGTAATCTCTTCCAAACTTGTAGATTTTTTCCATGCATATGTGGAATACTCTTTTTATGTGCACCAAGGCATGTGCAAATGTACACCACCAATAGAAGCACATAAACTAGTTGTGGGCACTCTACTAACCAGCTGGGTGGCATTTGAATTTGAGCGGCCGAACAAGCACATATCTTACAAGGAACACTGCTTTCAACCCACTAAACCAACCCACTGCTCTCCAAAAAGGGAGAAGACCAGTTAAAAGAAACTCAAAAGAGAATGTGATTTGTAAAAGTACAAAAACTGTTCAGGGTAGTACCCTGGACGTAAAATCTTCAACTTACTTAATTGACTAGATTTCAGCCTCACAAGCATGGTATATTAAGGGGAGAGCTTAATATTTGTTGCTGAGATTGAAGTGTTGGTGACTACTTTTTTTCAAATGTATACCTAAGTGTACAAAATGCATACAAATAGCTTAAGTGGTTAGAAATTATGGTAACAATATATGAAAATTGAACATGTAGACCTGAATCAGCAGTGAGCACTGATTCTTACTACAGTGAAGCTCTAATTGTCCGGCATCCAGTGTTCCAGCACCAACTGGAACCCGGAAATGCTCCAGCCAGCCGGACAATTGGAGCTGCTGTGAGCCCCATGGGTGCTCGCAGCTGGGAAAGAGAAGGGGATTATACCCTTGTGACGGGTTTGCTGGGACATTTGCTGAGATGGGTCAGAGGGTGGGGGGTGGGTGGGGAACAGTGCGGCGAGGGGCAAACCCTCCACCGTTTTGCAGGAAGGCAGGGGAAGCCCCGTGCCTCCATCGAGAGTTTCTGGGAGGGGAGCGGGCACCCCACCCCCAGACTGCAGTAGTTCTCACTGAGCAGGAGGGTGAGGGGCGGCGCTGTGGGACCAACCCAGCAGCACCCCAGCTGCTCTGCTCCGCACAGCTTCCCCAAGTCCGCTGCTGGGGGCAAACCCTCCACCGTTTTGCAGGAAGGCAGGGGAAGCCCCGTGCCTCCATCGAGAGTTTCTGGGAGGGGAGCGGGCACCCCACCCCCAGACTGCAGTAGTTCTCACTGAGCAGGAGGGTGAGGGGCGGCGCTGTGGGACCAACCCAGCAGCACCCCAGCTGCTCTGCTCCGCACAGCTTCCCCAAGTCCGCTGCTGGTGAAACTGACGACCGGATGCTGAGCAGGGAGGTGAGGGGCGGTGCTGTGGGACCAGCTGGGGTGCTGCCAGATTGGTCCTACAGCGCTGCCCCTCACCACCCTGCTCAGCGATAACTACTGCAGTCGGGGGGATGGGGAACCTGCCCCCATCTCAGAAACTTTCGGTGGCAGCACGGGGCTTCCCCTGCCTTTCTGCAAAATGGTGGAGGGTTTGCCCCTCGCCTCACTGTTCCCGCCCACCCCCTGGACACAGTGTGGGTCCCGGCAGAGCCGTTGCAGCCCCCCGCCCGCTTTATTGTGTTGGGCATTAGGCTGCATTAACAGTGGGAAAGTAAGTTCTCCCTGTCATGGGAGTTGTTAAAGCAAAAGTTAAATGATTTGCTGTTGCAGAGATGCAACGCTTATTTAATATTTTCCTATTGTAGACCTAAAGAAGCATACAGCAGATGACAACCCAGACAAAGGCATGTTGGAGAGAGCCATTGACTCATTAAAGGAAGTGATGACGTAAGTGATGCCTTTCATATGAAATATCATCTTGGATCTTACTGAAGTATCATGCAAATCTCAGCAGTGACATGGTACCCCTTATCACCTCAATGTTCCTCCCACCCCTATGCCAGAGCTTTTGAGAGAATCCTCCAAGGCTACGTCTATACAGGCAGTCCCCGGGTTACGTACAAGATAGGGACTGTAGGTTTGTTCTTAAGTTGAATCTGTATGTAAGTCGGAACTGGCGTCCAGATTCAGCCGCTGCTGAAACTGATCACCAGTTCCGACTTACATACAGAATCAACTTACAAACCCCAAGCGTCCCCAAGT